GACATGAAATTTTTATTTTAAAAGACAATATTGACCTGTGGCATGATTAATTTGATCTTGTATTAGTTCATATCCAAAAAAATGCCATCGGAAAAATATAAAATAAAATAATTTTCCTACCTACCTACCCTATTTTTTTTCAGGCTGGTAGCAGGAAACAAGACTATTAATTTTTTTGGCCTAAGCTGATGTCATAAGATACATTAAGTTTGGATCCATTAAACACTAGTATGTAATCATGACATGCGCACGCATGCATAGTGGGAACTCTTCTAATGGCATACAGTATGTCATCGGTAAAATACAGTTGCACAAGTGCAAGATGTACATGTAGTCTTCCCATGTTAACTGTTCAAGTACTTGAGTGCATCAAATGTTCATGCATCTAAAGCATTCATAACTTATAACTAGTTTCCGATAAGTTTTGCTGAAGTTTTTGGCATGAATTTGACTTTTAAAATGCATTTCTCCAGTGTATAATGTCTACGTATAGTTTGCTGTAGGTGATGTGCACAGGTTGAGAAACAAAATAGAATGTCACTAAATGAGTGTAAAATTGCACACATCTGTAGGTCATACAACAAATCCAGATAAATCAGAAACTTATATGGTAAATAAATGCAAATCAAGGTTAAACAATGATATAAATATATTTGATATTGATGACAATAATGGTGATTTTAACATTATTATAAGTGGGCAGTAGGATCCTGACTCAGATTAGCAATATGACCATAGGTCTTTTTTCTTCTTTCAGTTGTTTTCTAGGCCCAAATACAGGCCCAGCACAATGGCCAGACTGTAATCGGTATGTGGAGGCAGTCATCAGTAAGTTATGTGAAATTTTCCTGAGCTCAAAACGTGCTTCTGATGGTACAAGAGAAGATAGATGGACCCTGATTGGAAGGGCTTATGAACATATTCGTCAATGTGTTCTTTCCAATGCACAAGTTATGGCCAGAACATCCATCCAAATACCAGCAATAAATAAAACAACCCTTACACAATGGTAAGCATATGAAAGTATAAATATTAGAGACATTACTTTCACTTTTGGAATCAACATCTAATTAACATCACATATAGAATATGCAGTAGGGCACTAATCTGTAGTTTCTCCTTTTAAGGCATTAATATATTTGTAAGGAGAAAAGATAGGGGGTTGGAAGAGCAATTGCTGGCCTAGTATTGACTATGAAAATACAACAAAGTAGAATAATGTATACACACATATTTTAGATATGAGCATACATGTACATATAAAATAAATATGTATAATTAAGGTTTTTTTTTTTTTTTTTCAAGATTCTAGCTCCCTGAGGTCGGTACTATTTCCTGATGTGAAACTTAAGGGGAATAGTCTTATTTGAGGGGGATGAAATCTTGCTAAGTCTTAATTGGATGTACTTTTTAGTTCACCTTAGCCAAAGGCTCAAGTGAGCTTTCCTGATCAAAATTTGTCCGTTGTCTGTCATTGATGTTCAAATGAAGGGCCACTTCCACTTCCAAGGAGAGATAATTAAGAAATAGTAAAAAAAAAAAAAAATAGACAGTTTCTCTTTCAAAATCTTCCCAAGAACCAATGGGCCAAAAAAGTTCAAACTTATGTGAGACCTTCTTTACATAGAGAAGAATCAAATTTATTCAAATCATGACCCCAGGTTTTAAGGTGGGGCCATAACGGGGGTTCCAAAATTTACAAAGGAAAGATCTTTTAAAATCTTCTTCTCAAAAACAACAAAGCCATGTTAAGTCATATTTATATGGAAGCATTCTCAGATAGAGAACATTCAAATTTATTCAAGTCATGCCCCCCCCCCCCCGGGGTTGGGTAGGGCCACTGTGGGGGATCAAAGTTTTACATAGGAATGTATTGAAAAAAATACTGAAAAATTTTCTTCTTAAGAACAGCAAAGCCATGATTAAGTCATATTTATATGGAAGTATCCTCAGGTAGTGTATATTCAGGTTTGTTTAAATCAGGACCCCTGGGGTTTGGGTGGGGCCACAACAGGAGATCAGAGTTATAAATAAATATATAAGGAATATATCAATAAAATTTTTCTTTCAAGGATATCAAAGCCAGACTTCAGAAGCATCCTTAGGTAGGGTTTTTTTCAAATGTGTTACAGTCATGCCCCTGGAGGTGGGGCAAGGCCTCAATAGATCAAATGTCAGAACCACATTTGTATTTAAAATGTTCAATTTTGAACTGATTTCTGCTCTTTCCAATCCAGAGTGCTCAGCTGAGTGATTTGGCCCATGGGCCTCTTGTTAACTGTGTTATATCTTTTGTTCTCATACTCTATTATACACAGATACTTCTACATTTAGGTATAATCGCCGTGGAAAGAAACAAACTAAGTACATCTTGGAACAAGGAGCAGTACCTCCAAAGCCACCAGTGACAGCTTCTGCAAGTTTACCTGCACCTCTTCAGAAGCGTGCGTCCTTGCCCTCTGGAAAAGCTGATAATCCACATGAGTTTGTTCTCCCTCCAAACACTGCAGGCATGGTAAAGTTGAAGAGTAGAAGAGTGATCCAACCTTCTGATCCTTACCTGCTCCACCTGTGCAGCACCTTGTCCCCACTCAGCCTCTAGTTATTCTAAACACATCTGCATTTCAACACACAGGACAGCAACAACAACCTCCAGTGTTCTTGCAGATTCAACCACCCACCACCCCCCTCCTTCACAGTTCCAGCATTCAAGTTCCTACACCTATATCATACTCCACCCACAGGTATAGGAAAAGAAAAGAGCAAGAAGAGGAAGCTGGAGTAATTCACAGGAAATATATAAGGAAAACTGCTGGAATTGTGTGCAGCAAGTGCAAGAAAGACAGACATTCACCTGGCCATAAACAATATTATGGAAATGTATACTGTGTAGAAACTGCAACCCAGTCATTTGAATGCTGGCTAGAGGAGCTCAAACAGAGGAACTATGGAAAAAAGAAACCTTCTTGATTTTCATTTCTCTTATGTTGTGATTTATTATTTTAAATTTCTGATTTTTTGCAATTTTTCACTAACGTTTGTTAATATACAGCCCCATTTTGAGAACAATGTGATCAGTGTTTACACTAACAGACTCTTTCTGCTTAAAGACAGATCCTGAAGAAGTGTAAAAATGATAATTTCTATATGGAAATATAATATAGACACTTGCATTTTTAGCAGTGATATGACATTTGCCTTTTTTTGCAGTGAAATGACACTTGCATTTTTAGCAGTGATGTGACACTTGCATTTTTAGCAGTGAAATGACACTTGCATTTTAGCAGTGATACCCTAATTTTTTTTATTTGTGATAATTCCTGTGAAATTATTCCTCTCTTGATCCTGGGAGAATGGATTGTCAAAGATGTCTGGCTGAGGGTGGCAGTCCAGCAGAACTGAGGGTGGCAGTACCTTTACAGTCCTTTGGACCAGGACATGGAATTGTGTGAATTTGACTGTTGGCTTAACAGTGATTACCATTGGATTTTTTCACTCATATTCTACGGAAATGTGATTGTGTTTCCCTCTTAATTTTTCCTATGGATGTGATTTATTAATCCGCACTATTGATTGTGATGTGACACTTGCATTATTAGCAGTGATATGACACTTGCATTTTTAGCAGTGATATGACACTTGCATTTTTAGCAGTGATGTGACACTTGCATTTTTAGCAGTGAATTGACGCTTGCATTTTAGCAGTGATACCCTAATTTTTTTATTTGTGATAATTCCTGTGAAATTATTCCTCTCTTGATCCTGGGAGAATGGATTGTCAAAGATGTCTGGCTGAGGGTGGCAGTCCAGCAGTACTGAGGGTGGCAGTACCTTTACAGTCCTTTGGACCAGGACATGGAATTGTGTGAATTTGATTGTTGGCTTAACAGTGATTACCATTGGATTTTTTCACTCATATTCTACGGAAATGTGATTGTGTTTCCCTCTTAATTTTTCCTATGGATGTGATTTATTAATCCGCACTATTGATTGTGATGTGACACTTGCATTATTAGCAGTGATATGACACTTGCATTTTTAGCAGTGATATGACACTTGCATTTTTAGCAGTGATGTGACACTTGCATTTTTAGCAGTGATATGACAATACTTGCATTTTTAGCAGTGATATGACACTTGCATTTTAAGCAATGATGTGACTCTTGCATTTTTAGCAGAGAAATGACGCTTGCATTTTTAGCAGTGATGTGACACTTGCATTTTTAGTAGTGATATGAAACTTGCCTTTTTTTGCAGTGATACGACACTTGCCTATTTATGCAATGATATGACACTTACATTTTCAGCAGTGATGTGACACTTGAAATTTTAGCAGTGATGTGACACTTGCATTTTTAGCAGTGATATGGCACTTGCATTTTTAGCAGTGATATAATTTTTTTTATTTGTGATGAGTCCTCTGAGATTATTCCTCTCTTGATCCTGGGAGAAAAGATTGTCAAAGATGTCTGGCTGAGGGTGGCAGTCCAGCAGTACTGAGGTTGGAAGTGCCTTTGTTGTACATTGGACCAGGACATGGAATTGTGTGAATTTGACTGTTGGCTTAAACAGTGATTACCACTGGATTATTTAACTCATATTCTATGGAAATGTGATTGTGTTTCATTCATAATTTTTCTTATGGATGTGATTTAATTACCGCAACATTGATTGTGATGTGACACTTGCAATTTTAGCAGTGATGTGACACTTGCATTTTTAGCAGTGATATGGCACTTGCATTTTAAGCAGTGATATGACACTTGCATTTTTAGCAGTGATATAATTTTTTTTATTTGTGTTGAGTCCTCTGAGATTATTCCTCTCTTGATCCTGGGAGAATGGATTGTCAAAGATGTCTGGCTGAGGGTGGCAGTCCAGCAGTACTGAGGCAGGCAGTACCTTTGCAGTTCTTTTGACCAGGACATGGAATTGTGTGAAGCCAAATTGTGTGAATGTGACTGTTGAATTAAACAGTGATTTCCATTCGATTGATGCATTATCCATGGAAATATGATTGTGTTTCCCTTGTAATTTTTCATATGGAAGATCGTGATGTATTAATCCATAAGATTGATTGTTGGTTTGTGTAAGACACTTGTACTTTTAGCAGTGATGTGGCACTTGCATTTTTCACTGGGGATGTGAGGGTGGCAGTACTTTTGCAGTCCTTTTAAAAAAAAAGAGAGATTTGTGTGAATGTGACTGTTGGATTGAACACTGATTTCCATTCGATTGAATTTTTTGAATGAAGTGATGTATTGATCCGTAACATTGATTGTTGATTCTGGTTTGTAAGACAATTGCATTTTTAGCAGTGATATAATACTTGCATTTTTCACCAGTGATGTGAGGGTGGCAGTACCTTTGCATTCCTTTTGACCAGGAAATGGAATTGTGCGAATATGACTGTTGAATTAAACAGTGATTACCATTTGATTTTTTAACACATATTCTATGGATATGTGACTGTGTTTCCTTCATAATTTTTTCTATAGAATAATGTGATGTATTTATTAATCCATAACAATGATTGTGATGTGACCCTTGCATTCTTAGCAGTGAATCAACAGTGAAATAACAGTTGCATTTTTAGTAGTGATGTGACACTTGCATTTATTGCAGTGATGTGACACTTGCATTTTATTTTTCTAAAAGTGACAATTGTTAACTTTCTCTGGTTAATGGCTGAGGAATGCAGTCTAGAAAACAAAAAAGAAAGCCTTAAATATTCTGATTCAGATTTGAGGATATCATGAGAACCTCAGGTAATAATAATCATAATAATGCTTACATTACCTTTTCCTAATTCATAAATGATGCATTCAGAATAGTAAACAGGAAAAGCTGTACTGAAATGATGTGCAAGTATTGTATCAATGGCAATTTTAATTATATTTATTTAGCAGTTGATATTCTTAAAATTATTTTACATTTATTTTTTATTAATGTTCAAGGTTAATTGGCACTATCAATTTAAGAGTACACTTTGAACTCGTTCATAAAATGTGAAAGCAAAATGCTTCATGTTTTTTTTCTTCTTATTTTAAAATTACTCTATTTGATGGGGGTGCTTCTGACATTTAGAATGCCTCTACATATGTAATGAATCTCTAAAAGTAAAAATTGGATAGTGTTTGGAAGTTTAATTTTGAATTTGGATAACATTGCAGTTGAATAACTTCCAGATGTATAGGCAAAGAAACTTTCTTCCACATTATAGTCTCAGTTTCCCATATTTGAGTGTATACATGGAGATTTTGGTGCTGCATATTTAATACACTAAAAATTGCTGGAATTGAATTTCATCATTATTTTGTTTTCAACTTTACAGACTTACAGATTGGATTTACCAGAGTACATTGTATAATGGACTCCTGAACACGGTTTCTTAACTGTACAAATAAAGTTAAGTGGATTAAATCTGATTTTTTAAAAAAAAAACAGAATAATTCTATGGACATGCATTAATGATAAAAATTGATAATGCCTCATCATGTACAGTACTTAATGATAGTAATAATGTGCAACATTTACAATGAACATTAACAATGTACTTTGTCAGTAATTTATTTATAAACGCAGTGGTTTACACTAATTAAAAAAATTGTATTTATTTTTTATTTAAGTATCATTTGTAATCAATATCCAAATAAATACTAATGAATGATCAAAATTTACATTGACTGTATACATAGTTGCAGAGTATTCATGTAATGTCAATTTCTTTTATTCTTCCAGTGTAAATGGAAATTACTAATGCTTGGCGAAGGATGGTGGAAATGAAGAATATTGTGGAGGTACTTTGGAGATCCTGAACAACAGGATTGAAGAAGGACTGGGAGTAATTTATTTTCTCAAGTGTTGGACTGATTAATTTGGTGAACGAAAACTTGTATCTTTGGTCCTGCATATGTAGTGAAAAAAAGAAATATGCAGTGATTATATTGACAACCTTTCATCTGTAGCTGTGATAATACTGACATTGGGATCGTTAGCTGAGATACAAAACTACATCACACTACAGTATTTGACATAGGCAAACGGTGTTTGAGGAACCCTTTGCCTGAACATTTCATATACAAGGTAAAATTTTGTTATGAAATAAGAATAACCTGTTTTTGATTTTTTTTGGTTTTCTCTCTTTTTTTTGTTTCTGTTTTGTTTTTAGAAATATAGAGTATTATCAACACATATCCCCCCCCCCCCTCCCAAATAATACTTGTTAAATGAAAGCCCTTTTTTGTTTCAGTGTAAATTAAGAAGGAAGTTGTTAATGTATAATTCATAAGATCACATTTCTTTTTCAGCTACTACCAGAAACTGCTCAACAATATTAAGTTTCCTCCAGTGACATCATTGGAAATGGGAAAGTTTAAGACATCTGACCTTAATTTTTAAAAGTTATTGCAGTGTGTATTTATAGTGTCACAGATTGTGATCATTATGCATTTTATTTTTATTGTAAAATGCACAGCATGATGGATATGTACAGTGAAAATAAATTATGTTTATATCGAGTGCACAGAAAATGGACTCGCGCAATCTGTAACAGTAACAAATAATAGATATGAACAACTAAGTGATTTACCCATTCCTTCAATATTTCAGACTGTCACATATACCTGTCAGAGTTAAGATTCTAAATACATTTTATGTAGATAGAAACTAGCTAATGTCTGGTTCTGAAATACATGTATATAATATTATAAGATTCAATTTACATAAGTATAACTGATAATGCCTATAACAAAGCCTTTTGACAAATAAAAAAATGTACAAAGAGTTTAATAAATAAAGACAGCCATAGAAATGTATTTAATTGCTTGCTTTAGATGCTTGCATGTCACTTGATGCAGAATTCTTGTGAGAATTATTTTTTTTCCTTGCACAAAAGTAAATAAAGTGTTAATGTATTTTATGTAGATTTACTTTGGCTCAAAGCTTCGGGACACTTAATTTCATTGATGATATTTTAAGTCATCTCTGATTTTATGAGATTTAAAAATTCATCACAATATTTCATACTATGGTTTTATGCATGCATATTTTATGGAAGATGCCAATGATATTTTTTTAACATTAAGTAATGATCAATTTATTGGAGATGATGATCATTAGCTTTAACTGTTATGAAATATGTATTTTTAAAATTGTATATTTCTTTGTTTTTATAAAACTTCTGGGGTCATTTTAATTGCTATTGTAGAATTATATGATAAAAATGCATTTCGAAGAAAAGGTATAATACATGATCTTTATCAATGATTGGCTAAAAAGTAGAATGTCTTAAATATTTATGTGTAAGTATTTATGTGATTTGTAAATGACATCATGTGATTTTATCCTTTCTTTTAATATGATTTATCCATTTTTTTTTAATTTTGCTAATAAAATTCATATTAAACATATTGATATATGCAATTTATTCTCAGATATCTGAAAAGGTCAAGGATTTCAGACTGCTGAGTAATGGATTTAACATTATATTCTGTTTCAATATACAGCAATATACATATAAGAGGGTTAATAATTGTAAATCGTGTGTATTTATATCATGATAATGCAGAATTATGGTCTAAAGTGTGCTTTCAGTATAATCTACACAAAAAAAATTAGATGTGAGATGGTTTGGGGCCACTTTTCCACTGGATTGGAAAAGTTATCTATAGTTCATTTCAAAAAACTATTGTTTATTGATAAAAATTGCCAGTTACAGCAGTTCATTCATAACAATTCTTGGAAGATCCCTGTCCTTTGAATGGTTAATTTTTGGACACGCAACTTTAAACGATTGAGTAGAAGCCTTAGCGCAGTTGGTAGAGCGCTCGCTCCGTGATTGGGAGGTCGTGACCTAAGTCGATAAAAAATAGGTAGCAACTGTTCCTTCGCCATGCGCTCGGCACCTTGAAGTGAAAGTTGCGGGTCCTTCGGATGAGACCTTAAAAACCGAGGCCCCGTGTCACGGCAGGCGTTGACACGATAAAGATCCCTCATTGCTCAATGGCCCTAAGTGCCGAGTAAAGGTAAAAATTTGAAGCCCTTCACCGGTATATGGTGACGTCTCTATATGAGTGAAAAATTGAGCGAATGGGACCTAAAACAACATATAATCAATTAATCAGTATACGGTATAAATTGGATTGGGGGCAGTTTACGCTTTATAAAAAAGCGTAAACTGTTCCAACCCAGTTTATACCGTATAAATTGGGTAGCTATTAATTTCATTCATTATAATTCCATTTTCATTCATTTGGTATAAGAAAAAAAGATGATTACCCTTAAAACGTCGTGAAAAATGACTTCAATTTGTATAAAATTTGAATGTAACGTTAGGCGGATCGATACGTTTTTGACACAAGTCATTGTGACTTAGGCAACCCAATTTACACGGTATAAAGTAAATTTTTTATCCAATCAAATACAGCGTTACAACCAGAATTAAATTATTTATAAATCACATAGATCTTCGAAGTTTTCCCTCCAAATTTTTTTTATCCAAATCAATCATGGGAAATATACTATTATTCTATCTTAAAAAAGACACATTAGAATTGTGACAAAGAAAAAGCTTCAAATTGCTTCGCATAATCAATTATTTGACCTTTCTGCAATCACAAAATGTTATTTTCCTGGCATTAAAAATATAACAAGCAAGAAAATTATTTTAAAGTCTTAAACTTTTGCTGAAATTAAGCAGATTGATCAGAAAAAAAAAATCAAAAGTGGTGTCTGTGATGTAAATTTTTAGATATTACTAAAAAAAACGTGTTAAGTTAAAATTGGATCAACTTTTTCCTGGACTTTCAGAATATAGAATTATATTTACAAAATGTGGCACTATATGATGAATATGATGATAGAGTTCATAAAAATTACTTTAATAGATATTTCCGAACCAGTACAAAACATTTCACTGCACAAAATAGTTCTGTGTGCATCGAGCATGGAAAAATAGGAATCTAAACTTAACTATACTGTAAATACTTGAAGGGGAAAATTGATCATTTTCTTCTTTAAAAAAACTTTCCACCACGAAATATAGTTCCTGGCTTAATCCTATTTTTATGAAGGTAATCGCTGTTTTTTTTAATTGAATATAGTTTGATTTGTATTGTTAATGTAAGAACTTAAATATGACGAAGAATTATAGAGATAAAGGTCCTGACAAAAATCTACTCAAAAGCTCATTATCAAACCTCTTTAATCACCTCAAGTGAGCTTTTCTGATCACCTGCTGTCCGCCCGTCTGTCTGTCCATCCGTTTTCACATTGACGGTAAAGTTTTCACATTATCAATTCCTTCTCAAGAACCACTGCGTCAATCCTGACCAAAATTAGTAAAAGCAGTCTTGGGTAAAGGGAAGTTAATTTAAATTGTTAAAATAAATGGCCAAACCCCTCCACAAGGGAAGATAATCAAGAAAAGCCAAAAATATGGTGGGGTCATTGGAAAATCTTCTTCTCAAGAACCACTGGGTCAGAAAAGCTAAAACTTATGTAGAAGCATCCTGGGGGTAGTGTAGATACTAAATGTTTAAATCATGACCCCTGGGGGTAAGGGTGGAGCCAGAGTAGGGGATCAAAGTTTGAAATTTAATGGAAAAATCTTTTAAAATCCTCTTCTCAAGAACCACTGGACCAGAAAAGATCAAACTTGTGTGGAAGCATCCAAGGCTAGTGTATATTCTGAATTGTTCAAATCATGGCCACAGGGATAGGGTGGGGCTACAATAGGGAATCAAATATATATTACATTGAAATATAATATAATGAAAACATCTTTAACAGTCATTCTACGATAAATGGACCAAATCAGGGTATAAAACATGAAAAAAAAATAATTGTTTCAAATAGCAAAATGAACATCATAATTCTCTAAAGGACATATCAGTGAACCTGAAAAAAAGAACTGTCCACAAATCTGGTATCATTAACATTTTACAACAATTTTGATATTCCATTGATTTAAAGGTAATGTTACGAAAGTTAATGCTTGAACAAGTCTTATTATTTTTTTTTAAAGAAAGCTGAATTTGACCAATTTTTTGTTTCTGATGTTCAGTATAGAACGCTAGAGTATGATTCATGAAGTCTCGCATGAATCCGATATTAAGTTAAAATTTCGTTAAAAATATCGTTTACGGAAGTTAATTCCCAGAAATAAAAGTTAAATTTCTCGGCAATAGTTAAAACTTAAGTTTGTTTTAGGATATTAAACAAAAGTATGAAGCATATCGCTCCCAAAATAGTAAAAATCTTTATATCTTTCATGCAAAAACTCTCCCTAATTACCGTTACGGAAGTTGAATTTTTAAAAGAGACAACTGTTTTTGTCTAATTCATTTTGTTATGTCGAAAATGTAATCGTCTAAAAAGCTGACTCGCAACTAAAATCGATGATATTAGGTTCCATGGTCACTTTCAGATAAGTTTAAGTTCTATTTATACCCGCACTTTCTAAAGAAAGTTCGGGTATATTGTTGTTACTCATGTCTGTCCGTCCGTCCGTCCATCCGTCTGTCACACTCTTATTTCTCAAACTCCTCTTACATTTTACACAGTAGCCTAATCATCTTTTGGGAGGTGTTTGGTGGTGTCATGTAGATGTGCAGTAAAGTTTCGGAATTTTCATGTTCACCCTGGGGGTCAAATGGGGGTCGAAAAATGACGTTTTTTATGCAAAAAGCCCCTGGTTCCCTGAACTCCTCTTACATTTTACACAGTAGCCTAATCATCTTTTGGGAGATGGTTGGTGGTGTCCTGTAGATGTGCAGTAAGGTTTCGGAATTTTCATTTTCACCCCGGGGGTCAAATGGGGGTCAAAAAATGACGTTTTTTATGCAAAAAGCCCCTGGTTCCCTGAACTCCTCTTACATTTTACACAGTAGCCTAATCATCTTTTGGGAGATGGTTGGAGGTGTCCTGTAGATGTGCAGTAAGGTTTCGGAATTTTCATTTTCACCCTGGGGGTCAAATGGGGGTCAAAAAATGACGTTTTTTATGCTAAAAGCCCCTGGTTCCCTGAACTCCTCTTACATTTTACACAGTAGCCTAATCGTCTTTTGGGAGATGGTTGGTGGTGTCCTGTAGATGTGCAGTAAGGTTTCGGAATTTTCATTTTCACCCTGGGGGTCAAATGGGGGTCAAAAAATGACGTTTTTTATGCAAAAAGCCCCTGGTTCCCTGAACTCCTCTTACATTTTACACAGTAGCCTAATCATCTTTTGGGAGATGGTTGGAGGTGTCCTGTAGATGTGCAGTAAGGTTTCGGAATTTTCATTTTCACCCTGGGGGTCAAATGGGGGTCAAAAAATGACGTTTTTTATGCTAAAAGCCCCTGGTTCCCTGAACTCCTCTTACATTTTACACAGTAGCCTAATCGTCTTTTGGGAGATGGTTGGTGGTGTCCTGTAGATGTGCAGTAAGGTTTTGGAATTTTCATTTTCACCCTGGGGGTCAAATGGGGGTTGAAAAATGACGTTTTTTATGCAAAAAGCCCCTGGTTCCCTGAACTCCTCTTACATTTTACACAGTAGCCTAATCATCTTTTGGGGGATGGTTAGTGGTGTCCTGCAGATGTGCAGTAAGGTTTCGGAATTTTCATTTTCACCCTGGGGGTCAAATGGGGGTCAAAAAATGACGTTTTTTAAGCAAAAAGCCCCTGGTTCCCAGAACTCCTCTTACATTTTACACAGTAGCCTAATCGTCTTCTGGGAGGTGGTTGGTGGTGTCCTATAGATGTGCAGTAAGGTTTTGGAATTTTCATTTTCACCCTGGGGGTCAAATGGGGGTCGAAATATGACGTTTTTTATGCAAAAAACCCCTGGTTCCCAGAACTCCTCTTACATTTTACACAGTAGCCTAATCGTCTTTTGGGAGATGGTTGGTGGTGTCATGTTGATGTGCAGTAAGGTTTCGGAATTTTCATTTTCAAGTTTTTGATGCAGTGGAAGAGCTCTCACTAATACATATCAGCATATTACTATTAGGTTTGATAAAAATATCTTGAATGATTTATTTAAAACTGAGCTTAACACTTATTTGAGAAAAGAGAG